GTCTTTTTCTTGAATTGAGCTTCTTTTGAGGGTCGTCTTGTTTCGTCAAACGGCCTGGAAGCGACATAGTTTTGTCTTCTCTTGATTTGGGTTTCTTTTGAGTGTCGTCCTGGCGCTCCGTCCTCTCCCTAGTCATATGAACGCGTTGCTGATCTGCACCCTCGTGACTGACATGGCGGGAGCTCGAAACAGCATTCTCCCAGGCAATGTCGAGGATCTGTTTCATTTCCTCTCTGGTCTCATCAGCAGCTATAATACGAGAATAAGCGACTGGGATTGGAAATTACCTGGTATTGTCCTGGGTAGCGTGCTCGTCGATCAATCGGGCAACTTGAGCAGCGCCTTCTGCGCTCTCAAACTGCATGGTCATTGCCGGGGGTCGACCGCGTGACATGGGTCGTCGCAAGCTTAGGTAGCATCCCCCGTAGCGAACGTTGTGAACATGTTTTACATTGATCGAAGCCCACTGATAGTGTTCGTCCCGCGTTCCATTTGACCATGCTTCGAGAAGGGAGGGGTCGCTGGGTGAGCAATGCAGAGACAGGCAATGTCGGCTGTCTGGTGAATGGTACATATTTTTTCCCGAGACAGCCTTCAGTATAACCACGGAGGGCTTTATGGGTCTTCTTGGGGTCCTGTCTTCGAATTTTGTTTGTGTAATGTCGCCACGCATACAGCGCCGTGAGCGCGGAGAGGGCTGTATTTGTGAGAAGTTAGTCCGCCGAGTTTTCGCTACATTAATGATACTCTTAGACTGGAGTTCATCCTCGGAGATCTCGATTTCCTCCAATTCCAGAGGGGTCTTGTGACCTATCACTTTGTGCTTGGATAGCGTGGGTGAGTAGGTATTGGCAGCCCGCGATTTTGTAACACGAAGTCTGGGAACAAGATCGGAGGCAACATTGGATGGAGGGGGGCCGGGGTTCTGTGTGTCAACTAGGCTGTCGACTCTTCTCGGGGCGCGCTCAGGGCCAGCCTGGGCGGCTTGATTGCGACCCTTGAATGTTGATCCCAAATTTGGCGGAGAGGCTTGATAGGACGATTCGGGGAGGGGACTCTCTGCGGAACAAAGTTCCAACTTTTGCCGTTTAGCGAACACTTGATGGGGTACGGATGGGGACACAGGCAACGCTCGTTTGTTGCCACTTGTAGTCAATGTGTTGACTGATGACCATGACTGGTTCATCCGTTTCTGTGTGGTGCGGGTCAGTTTTGGAATGCAAGAGAGACATAACATGCGGTAAGAAGGGCATACAAGTCTTTCAGGTCCCATGGTGGATTGATATGACCTGTTATCGGCAGTCAGTACGCAAGCAGGTATGAGGGGGCGGTTGTGGCCTATGTACGACATACCCATAGTCCGGGAACGAGCTGGTTTTGGAATAATATCTATGGCTAGCACTGCAAAAGTGTCAACCGAGGTATTCCCATGCGCAGAGTATACTATGAACCCACTTCCAGGAAGAGGCTCCGCGCTTTGCTCTTAGAGCTGTGTCTTGGGCTCCAGCAAGGCGGGCTGGATCATGAGCATCTGGGGACACGCTGAAGCCGGTTTGTTGCGCACTACATGGGCATTCTCTTAGCGGTCAAGAACTGTGTACCGTTGTCGGCTCTCCGTTAGTACGCGGACGTACACCTCGAGCATGTGAGCAGCACACGACTGCGGCGCCCCAGCTTTGTTGGTCGACGAAGGCTGACGACGATTCTGCAGTGGCTGTCTCGAAAAAAAAAGATCAGGAAGTTAGTAAATGCACATGCTCAGTGGGGGCAGTGACGGAGTGGGTCCGAAGCGAGACGACAGTGCCAACCCGAACCCCAAGGTAATGAATTACATGCTGTTTGGCGTGTAATAACAAAGAGAAGAAGGAAAAATGACATGCCTCACCGGTTGCGACTGGCAGTGTAGCCACGGCGGCCGCGGATGCTAGTCTCTGCGATTTGCGGGGAGACATGTTGCGGCGCAAAGGTACCGTCCTCGTCATGACAGCCGCGGCAGGCGTAGCAAGGCGGTCGCAGGACGGGGAGCGCAGCAGCTAGGCTGGACAACGGCTGGCTTGACCTCTTCTTCCGAGCACGCCAAGGTCATGGTGTGTTCAAGTGCTGGGACGCGGCTGATGATGCTTGTGCAGAGTTCAGCCAAGTCGCAAGCCAGGACGGACAGCTTGTTAATTAGGTCCCTAAAAGCTGAGGTAGTACCTACAGGTACCTACTACCTTTACTGGCCTACCTACCCACGCGCGTGAGGCCTGTGTCCGGACACGGCTAGGATAGGGTCTGGAATTTAAAATATAGTATTCTCGTCTAGCAACGCTATTAGGTGTCTACTGCGTCTGATGAAAGAAATGTAACAATTTTTAACACGTGCTAGCAGCCTGGCAGCTTTGCTAGATGGGATGTGTATATGGCAAACGGGGGCCATGTGCAGTGTTGAGTGCTGTGTCCAGAAAAGGCCCCGCGCGCGTACAGGTAGGTAATGCCCTAGTATTAGAGTAGAGGTAGGTGGTAGTTGAATCCTCCAAGCTCAAGCCTCAACGTGTCCTGACTGTTCCACACACCACCCAATTCGAAACTCGCTCTCCCCGTCGCATCGCAAATACATCACCAATCGACTATCGCGCAGCGCTTTCCGATCAAACCCAGAGCCAAGCCTCCGCGACCTCGAACCGCGAACTTCCCACACCGCTCCCTGGACGTGGCCGCGCCCAGCGCCATCTCCCGTGCCCAACCATGTACAACTCGTTCAACCGCGTCCAAAACGTCTTTGGCTTCTTCACAACAGTCGCCTGCGTCTTTGGCGCCTTCATCGCCGCTACCGACCTCTTTTCCCCGCGCAACCCGGCTGCCGACATCAGCCCCGACAACATCCAAGTGTAAGCAAGCTTGCCGAGTTAGTTAATGGCCCGGCGCCGGGAAGAGCACGACCGTGACCAACCGACTAACACTGCTCGCAAACAATAGCGTCAAGGGCCGTCCGCACTACTACAGCAACAAGAAAGAAGAGTACGCCGTCCTCCGCTTCTCCCTCGATGCCGACCTCTCCAGCCTCTTCACTTGGAACACCAAGAACCTCTTTGTCTTCGTCACCGCCGACTGGCCCGGCCCGGACAATACAACCAATTCGGCCGTCATTTGGGACACCATCATCACCAACCCCAGCGCCGACCATCTCCTCAACATTGGTCCTGCCACGCTCAAGAAGCTGCGGAGGAGCTCCGCCGGAAAGTCCATTGACCCCAGCCGGTATGTGAACCAACCGCCTCGCGCCCTTCTCGTAACTTCTTCCTTCGCCCGCTAACCTATCGGGACACCTGCAGTGGCAAGCTCAAGCTCAAGAACCAAAAACCCAAATACCAGATTACGCATCCCTCTGGAAAGATTGCCCTTACCCAGGATGTAACCTTGAAGTTGCACTACAATGTCCAGCCCTGGGTCGGGCTGCTGACCTGGAACATGCCGAAGGATCTCTTCTTATGGAAAACCATGGCTGGAGGCGAGAGCAACAAAATTGCCCTCCCAGCCCTCAAGGTGAAGGAGTCCAAGGATAATACAAAGTCCCAGGTCAAGGCCAAGGCCAAGGCGTAACGAAAGTTGTATTCGTAATAGTATTCTTCAAGATATCTTACCATTGTTGCGATGGGACAAAACCTACGGCGTTTGGGATGCCAGCCATTGCTTGGCTTTAAAATCTGTCAACAATTCTTCATTTTGCTTCGTCTCGTCACGCCATTTTAAGCCTGCCAATGATGGGCTCCCTATGCTTATCTAACTGCGGAAAGTTACATATATCCCAGTGCAGTATACCCTGTATTTCAAACATGAGGCTCCAGTGCCGTCTATAGTCGCCAGCTTTTCGATGATTCAACAAGATACAGCCCACATCCTCCGTATATTCGAACTAATTGCCCAGTTAACGCCAACCCGGCCCCCCACTGTTGCGTTCCTTGGCTATGCTGGCTTGGCTTCCTGATTGCCAGCAACACCGCCTCCTCTTCCACGATTGCCGTTACCTCGACCTCTATTGCCTCGACCACGCCCACGACCACCCCGTGAGACGTTCAAGTTTCCTGGCGGCGGCACGTTGCCATATTTCTGCTCGCCATTCTGTCCATTGGCGGCTCCGCCGCGGTGGCCACTCTGACCCCGGTTGCCCTGCCCGGTGCTCTGTGAGCTACCGTTTGGTCCGTCACGGTAGACCATGGTGCTGTGTTGAAGCCTGGGCTCGCTGTTCGCACCGCCGTACCCGCGGCCACGACCACCTGATTGCCTTCCATTCACAGCGCCACTCCAACCGCCGCGCAGAGGTGCTGGCGTCTCGGCATTCTTGTACTGCGTCACACCTACAGAGCCATAGCCACCAGTCGTCTTATTCGGAGCTGCTGCCGCCTGTCGCTGCTGCGATTTGCTCGAGGCCGAGAGTACCTGACGGTTGGTTGTGTTGAGGACGCTCGAGGCTGTTACGGTCTGTCCGCGAAACATGGGAGCACGCTCGCCCACAGTTGTTCCACTCATAAAGGAGGTATCCCAGACAACATCGAGTAAAAGTGCCGTTGGGGTGCGGCTGATACCGACCACAGTACCCCTGGTGGCGATAGGCACCTTACCAGCAGCGGCAACAAACGTGACGCGATCACCGAGCTTGAAAATTTGATTTCCAAGGACCATTTCAGCATCAGACGGTTTCAACAGTGCAGAACGAGGAACACCACGTAGCTTCCGAATGTCCGAATTCTGCGACGCTCGGTGAACTTGTTCGCCAGCTGCGGCTAGTGCCATGACAATGTCCGAGTCCAGTTGCTCAGCATCCAGGGTGACTTTCTCGAACTTGCTTGTCTCCTGCTTCTTGAGCCAAGCAGAAAGATCCTTTAGTCGTTGGGATGCAACACTCTGGTCAGGCCATAAATCTGTGTCGTAAATGTCGCTCTTTTGAGCGTGCTTTTGCACCGCTGCAAAAAAGTCGGGGAACGCGACCATGTAATTGGCAATGAGCTGAATAGCCATACGGCTAAACTCCCAGCCAGTGTTCGATTTACGCGAATATCCAAGCACCTTCAGCTTGCGCCCTTCGAACTTGAGGTTGAGGCCCAGATTCAACTTCAACCCGGCCGAGGTCAGCACCTGGAAGGAAGACGTGATTTTGCTAAGAACCAGAGGATGTACTCCGAGCTGCTTGGCAATTGCAAAAGATGGCGTGTATGGATTCGCCTTCTCAGCCTGCTGTATAATGGATCGCGAGAACTCGGGCTCCTTGGTCTTCGGGACCGACACTACTATTTCCGTCTTGCCGTTGACGTGACTGGTAATTTCAAGAGGTCGTCCAAAAGCGTAGTCACCCAGAAAGAACGCTCTTGTGCCTTGGGGAAACTCTTCCTCGACTGGTAGGGCCGCCTTTTCGATAAATCGCTCATCCTCATTCAAAACGTCGTCAACGATGGTCTGAGATGCATATATGCTTCGGACACTTGGGTTTTCGGCATATTCCTTTACCAGAGCACCTTCCTCGGTCTTGAAGAGACCCTTCAGCATGTGGACGCCGACGAGGCACTCAACCTGGCCGATCCTAACACCAAGACGTTTCGCGTGCCAGTTCTCGAGGAAATCCGCCTCTTTGGCAAAGTCTGCGCATTCACGGTTTGTGCTGTCCTTCATGATTACCTCCACGCCATCCTCGCCGAGAGTGTATGTGAAGAGCTCATCCTGGACCTTGACAACCTTGGCTTCCTGGAGGAAGGGAAACCCTACAAAGCATTTCTTTCCTAGCCTTGCCTTCCAGGTCTCCGTCTTGCTGCGATTCTCGGTTTCGGTCAGCGTCACTATCACACTCGGGTTGCGGCTGTCGGCCTGAAAAACGTTGATACCGTAACCTTCAATGAGTTGCGCTGTATGAGAGAGGGTGTGCAGCGAGGGGAAGCCTGCCAATGCGTCCGTCTTCAGCTTCGCACCATCCGTCAAAGCTGATTTGTAGACTAGTCCCTCCATATTCGGCAGATCAAAGATATTCTCGATACAGCGGCAGTTTTGTACTTCAGGGAAGATGCCGGGAAGTGGAGAAGGGTATGTGAAATTCACCTCGGAGGAATAGGTGAATTGGAGAGGAACACCGAAGCCATTGCGAGCCTTCTCCTCGTCACTGAGAAGCACATTCTTGGTCTCCATGGCGGCCAAGAGACGCTTCTCATCAATGAAAGGAATCTTGACAACGGCTTCCCAATCCATCTTCTTGCCGTTCATGTCCAATTCGAAATCTCGCGGATAAAAGTCAATGATGGGCGAGGCAGGGCTTGTCATGAGGTCATGGTAAGCTGTGGGCACAATCTTTTTGCTGCGGTCTGGCAGGACACCCATGAGCTGCTCATACGGTTTGAACGGTTGTCCCTTCTCAAAAAGCAGCTTTGCGTTTGCACCTTTAGCCACGTCGGAGATGAGAGGCGCGTAATGATACTTGTAAAACCAGGGCCAGGACGCAATGCCGCGGTAGTAGTAGAAGAGAACCCACTGCAAACCCTCGACATAGTTTTCGCAGAGAGCCGTCTGCTCATCGGCGTAGGCAGTTGATTCCCACTCGGGGAATTTTTGAAGGTAGTATTTGGTCTTCCAACCCTGGTACTTCTGCTCGTAGAGCTTCTCGTATTTCTCTGGGGAAGCCCCGCTAGAGTCGTCTACCACCACAGCTTTATCATACGTTCTTATAACGCGATAAGCAGCAAGATTGCCTTCTTCTTCGTCCTCATCATCCTCGTTATCACCCACCGGTTTAGGAGGGAATGAGATGATGAGGTGTCGAAAGCCATTGTCATCTTCTTTCGTAGACCAATCAAGATGCATAGCGTCGGCAATATCCTGTGCAAACTTCTTATCCCCCGCATTCAAATCTATGCCAAGGTCAAGCACATCGTCTGAGCGCTTGGAGACGTAGGGACGAATTTTTTGTTTCCAAAGATCTCGTTGATTGGTGGTGATAATGCGCTGTCCACTTTTGGGCATCTTTGCCGCAGAAACTGATGCTGTGTTTTGCAACTTTTTCTCCATCTGCTTGGAGGCAAACCACTTCTCATCAGAGACATCATGCTCGAACTGCTTGATCTCGACCTTGCCAAGCTCGGCAATCATCCTGAGCGCACGCTTGATGTTGAGAACGCCATTCTCATGCAGGTAGCCACCTTCCTCGGGCAGAATTCGCTTATAGATTTCAAACATGTCAGCGAGCGCACCTTCGTTGATATGCAAGCCAGGAAGATTAGGCAAGAAATCATTGCCAACGAAGAAGGCCATGAGGATGAAATCATCGATGACACGTTCCAAGTCAAATTCGAGGCCGGAATCTTGGGTTTGCTTCAGTTCCTGGAATTCCATTTCCAGGTACTCTCTGACCATGCATAGGTGAAGCAAGAAGAAGTTTTGATGTTCAAGCTCCTTGGACTTATTCTTGGACGCCCTGCCAAACGTAACCTCCTCGCGCAGTAAAGAAAAGTGAGGGTCGTGGCTGAGGAGGCCCAGCATGATCAGATCGGCATCAAGGCCGTATAAGCAGTGTCGCACATTTGGATTGTACCCAGGTTGCGATTTGGCATTCCGGATGTACTCCATGATTTTGTGTTCACCTTCGCCAGGTACTTCGTGTCCGGACAGTACAATTTCGCAGCCTTGCCAATCGGTATCTTCTGAGACTTTTTTGTTGACAAAATATTGTAGTTGTCGAGATAGTTTCGCCATGAATGCGGTACCTGAAGCAGCGTGAGATTGCATATCAAGAAAAGATCGCACACCTAACTCAGAAACAACATACCTGGCGTGATACAGTTACTGTCGAATGGCTCCTCTTTCGGCATCTCAACACCTTCCTTTATGGCCTTTTCACGGGCCATTTCTACCTCGAGCGCGGTACGGAATCGACGAGCCCGCTGCTGGTTCATCTTAGCGCGGGGCGCGACGCCGTCAATGGCCATGAAAAAGAGTTGCCTAGGCTTAATCTTGCCAAAAAGATGCTCGATATAGTTGAAAATGCGGATGAACATTTCCTCTTCGCTTAGGCGGAAGGTCGTATCCTCACCAGCATCCTTATGCGTGCAGTTGTGGATAATACCGTTCATGTCGAGCTATTGGGCGAGTTAGCACGCTGCTTATAAATGCGTCGCAAAATGACATCGTACATAGAGGCAGTCAAACTCGGGTATTCTGTTTTCCGCAATGAGCTGCGAAATGGGGGGGTATCGCTCGGAGAGCCATCGGAAGAATTTAGGCACACTGTCCAGAGGTTAGTCGTGCATTGCAACAATTAGACTATGCGCCACGTCACTTACCCCATTATGGCGACGTCTGGGTAGATTATTGGTCTCAATAGGAGATTCGAAAGCGTAGAGTTTGTTGTCTGCTTGGCGCAGAGTGCGACGTCGGACAGCGAGAGAGGGAAAAACGAAGCTTGAATGTGAGTCGACTATTGTTGTCGCAAACCGATTGCTTGGCATGCGTTGCAGTCATATACACGGGGGATAGGAGGATATAACAGGTACGGCAACCCGATAGGAAAAAGCAGCCCGTGATACTCAATATGGACGAGCATGCAACACAGTTTGCATGGATTTCCTTTGTGGAAGAAGAGTCATTCGCCCGAATGCGATGGCTGTTCGGCTTTGGCCTGAGGGGCGACACGCACTGTGGGCACAGCCAGCTAGCGTTCTGTGGGTGGGATGGGGGCTGGTACTTGTCTGCCGTACCTACCTTAGTACCTTAGGTAGGTACTATGTAGGTACCTACCTAGGTACTTAGTACGTATTGTTGCATCTAGAACACCATGACTAAGCTCTCTCACCACCAAGCTCACTGTAGTCCCCACCAACTTAGGTACATATACTCACTTTACGCGCGACGCGTTCCTCTCGCTTCTCAGAGCTTGCAACTCCTCCGTCTCGGCTATTTCAAAACGCAAATCTGGCGCTACAAGCTACGGGGTAGCATTATTTTCAGCATTTTATAGCTCCTATCGACCCAAGATACCGGTGGATCATGTCGCCCCCGAGCATGGACCGCGATGATCTCGGTATGCTGACTTGCAAGCCTCAGCCTGTTTCTGGCTAATCGTTGCAGTAGACCTGACACACGACGAGGAGGACGACCAGGGCGAAAGACTCATCAATGAGGGTATGCATTAGTTCGAACCGACTATACATACAGAGGGGAACAAACTAACATGCCATTTAGAGTACAAAACTTGGAAGAAGAACAGTCCGTTCTTGTACGACATGATTCTTGGGTATGTCCAGCGCCGCCAACCTGCCTCCGTTTCTCCGTTTTCCCTAACACCAGATAGCACCGCTCTTACATGGCCTACTCTTACTGTTCAATGGTTTCCTGACGTCAAGGAGCCCCCGGGCAAAAACTTCCGCATGCACCGCCTGCTGCTTGGCACTCACACATCCGACGACAGCCCCAACTTTTTGCAGATTGCCGACGTTCAAATCCCCAAGGCGCTCGCGCCAAACCCGGACGATTACGAGGACGACCGTGGCGAGATTGGAGGCTATGGCAGGTCGGGAGATATTGCTGCAATCAAATGTGATATTGTCCAGAAGATTGAGCACCCCGGCGAAGTCAACAAGGCCCGCTATCAGCCTCAGAATCCAGACATCATTGCTACGCTCTGTGTCGATGGAAAAATTTTGATCTTCGACCGCACAAAGCACCCACTCCAGCCCTCATTCGCCAGCAAGATTAATGCCCAGATCGAGCTGATTGGTCACAAGGCCGAGGGCTTCGCTCTGAATTGGAGTCCCCATGAGCAGGGCTGCTTGGTCTCTGGGAGCGAGGATAAGACCATGTGTCTTTGGTATGGAATACTTGCAGCGAACTGTCAGTTGTATGCTAATCACCTTGTAGGGACCTGAAGAAGCTTGAATCTGATACGAGGATCCTCAAGCCTTGGCGTCGGTACAACCACCATACTGCAGTCGTCAACGATGTTGAATACCACCCCATCTCAAGAAACTTTATTGGCTCGGTCTCTGACGACCTTACACTGCAAATCGTTGATACCCGTAACAGCGATACGGGCAAGGCTGTAGTCGTAGCCAAGGGTGGCCATTTGGATGCTATCAACGCCTTGTCCTTTAACCCCAACTCCGAGGTCCTGGTGGCCACTGCCTCTGCTGACAAGACAATCGGTATCTGGGATCTTCGCAATGTTAAGGAAAAGGTGCATACTCTGGAAGGCCACAACGACGCCGTCACATCATTGTCGTGGCACCCAACCGAAGCTGCTATTCTTGGTAGCGGGAGCTATGACAGACGCATCATCTTCTGGGACATCTCTCGCGTTGGCGAGGAACAGCTTCCTGATGAACAAGAAGACGGCCCCCCAGAACTGTGAGTATTGCTGTTTTCTTGCGTGGTTTCCACAACTAACTCAATTTTGCAGGCTTTTCATGCACGGTGGCCACACGAACCATCTTGCTGACTTTAGCTGGAACCGCAACGAGCCGTGGATGGTTGCCAGTGCTGCTGAGGATAATCTTCTGCAAATTTGGAAGGTCGCCGAGGCCCTTGTTGGGAAGGATGACGGTGAGCTGCCCGTGGACGAGCTTGACCAATAGGTCCGGTTGACACTACTGAGTAATAATCAATCTTATGGGACGAGGGGACAAGAGAATCCCGGCATCTATGGAAACATGTAGATGACAAATATCGGGATCTACTTGCCGTGGCCAGGGCTCCAGTACTGCGCTGCGCCTGTCGTAGCCGTCTTTCAGCACAATTGATTGACTACTGCTATGTTCACGTATAATTCATCACCTAAAGAAGTAGTTTACTAAATACTTTGTGCGCTTGTGTCGCTGCGCTGTTTTTCGAAAATGTTAGCTAATGTATTGATTGGCCCATCGCACATTCACCTGCTGCTCAGAACCTCACGTGTCCTGTGCAAACAGCCGCAAGTCCAAATACAAGGCACTACAATACTATCATCCGCGTGTAGAGCAGAGCTTCTACATCATATTATCGACATGAACCCTTCCACGCCGAAACGGTCAATAAGCCATGCATGGGATGTTGAAGCCATGTCGACAGAGACTTTGAGCCAGTCGCCCGAGACCGCCTCACCTGTCCGGCATGCGAAGCAAAACGCCGCGGGCGCCAAAGTCAAGAGATTCAAATTTACAGGCCTCGAAGTGCAGCGATACTTCCACGGCCAGGACCCGTATCTCACGCGGCCAAGCGGTGCCGCCTCTGGGACCCGCGAGCCGGGTCAGCCACAGAGCAACAACATTCTCACGCTCCTGTGCCACAACTCGGAGCTCGCCGTCGAGATTGGGAAGCACCTGAGCCCTGCCGACATCGCGACGCTGTACAGCACGAGCCGAGCCTTCCACGACGCCGTCAACAAGTACATGTTTGCCAGCGTCAGCGCCTGGGTCGCGCACAAAGCGCCCGAAGCCGGCAAGATCTTCGACTTTCGCCTCTACAAGCGCCATCTCGTGGCCGACCCGGCCGGCCGCACCTGGGGCTACCAGTACGAAACGGCAGAAGACGCGGCGCGCGGCGGCGGCGCCGACGCACCGCCCTCCCGCGGTGGTGCGGGCCAGACCATCGACGCCGCCACGGCGGACGAGGTGCGCGCCATCCCCGGCATCAAGTACCTCCAGCTTGTCGTCGGACGCGACCGGTACTGCCGGGAGATCCGGGCGATGCTGGCGCGGCACGGGCACCGCACGCCGGCGTCGATGCACGCGACGCTGCTCAAGCTGTGGCTGTGCCTCGACATCCCGACGGGCGCGCAGCGCGCAGCGCTCCTGCGCAACCGGGCGGTGTGGGCCGACGGGGACCTGTACAACGCGCAGCTGCTCTTCGTCAAGCTCGGGATGCACTTCAACGACCCCGTGTACGGGCCCAACACGTACGAGCTGCTGCACCTGATGCTGGGCCAGCGGGGGCTGTACCCGCTGTGGCAGCTGCTCGCGCGGAAGCGCTTCACGCGGCTGCGCGAGGTGCTCGCGCTCAAGGTGCGCTACGACTTCCCGGCGGCGCCGTCGCCGTCGGACCCGCGCGTGCGCGGCGCATACCACTGGAGCGTCGAGTATTTCGGGAGCGGCATGCAGGGGGTGCCGTACGGCGAGGTCGGCCGCGGCCACCTCGAGGGCTGGGGCGCCGGCGGCGTCCGGCACCTCCCGCGGCCGGACGAGCTGGTGCCCGTGGAGGCGGTGGCGCGCGGGCTCGAGCTCGACGCGCACCTGGTGGGCATGATGATGTGGGGACACGTCGACTGGGCGACGGGCGAGAACCTGGTGCCGACCGAGGAGGAGATGCACGTCGAGGACGAGGCGGCGCTGCTGGGGGCCGCGGACACGAGCAGTCACTGGCGGCCGCGCCACGCGCGCAAGAAGCGGTTCGCGGAGCTGCCCCCGGCGGAGCGCCGGCGGATCCTCGACGAGGACGAGGACGAGCGCCTGCGCGCCATGGCGTGGTGCGGCGAGACGGACGACTACTCCTCCGCGAGCGACGACGAGGACGACGACGGCGAGGGAGCAGCGGCGTGCTCGCTCGAGGACGAGATGACACGCGGGTATATCCTGCCGCCGCGCGTGCCCGCCGGCGCCGATGACTCGGTCGAGGTGCCGGCCGTGGACGACCAGGCGGGCTGGGTGGAGTTTGTCAACGACGTGCTTATGAGCGGGCTGCCGGCGGACATCAGTGGCGAGGCGGCGTTGCAGGCTGAGGCGTGGCAGTCGTACCAGGATGCGGAGCTTGAGTCTGAGTGGGATTGGGAGGCGTGGCTACAACAGCACCAGAGAGAAGAAGGCGATGAGACGAGTGAGGACGAAGAGACTCCATGATCGAGTTTAGAAGTGGAAGCAATTGTGGTGAAGGGTTTTGCGTGGGGGGTGAGAGAGGAAATGGGTGATGACCTAGGGCCAAGAGGCACGTGGAAAAGGTAGCCCTGATAGGTGGACGTGAATGGAGTGGCAGAGATCTTGACACGGCCAGCTCCGGCGTACATCCCTGTATTATAGTAAACCATTCATCACCGCCGTTGTCTGGATAATTGATGCGTATACTAATATTAATTCTCTGATCTGTTGCTTTGATTCTATTCACGATCTTTCAAGGGTGTCCTCAGGTCCAATTCTTCCTCTCATTTGCCCGACGTATTGGCATCATACGCAGATAGGACTTGATTAGAGCTTCATCCTTTAACAATTGTAGAGGCCTGCCGCTGTCAACGAGGCGGATCATATCAGGATGGGCTATGGAGGCAAGTGATCATAGCTTTGTATTCCCGTGTCCTACTCCCGGGCTCAGATTCAGTCATGAAACTCGTATCGAATTGTATAAGCCACCGCGGCCGCTCCCTCGACAGACACGTCCCTCCTCCTCTGGGCATACATCAGAGACAGGGCATATTTCAGTAGCGCGAGTGCGTAAATACCTAGGTAGGTAGGTAGAGATTGTCGCTGAAGTAGACCCGCGACGCATGGCGGAAGCCAGTACTTAAGGGCAACGCGGATGCTTGGCCCGACCAACCGGCGGCGAGATCTGACCCGACGCTCTCTCTAGTCTCTAAATTGTCCCATGGATTGAACTTTGGTGAACTTTGGAGAGAAGTATACCACTTTTGCCCTCCTCACAGTGGCTCTTCTCATCATGCCTTACCAGAATTGGTAAACAACACACTGCTGCACCTTGTCCAGACGCGCCCTCACGCACCCCTTTCAAAGACACGCACACTGCCATCTCCAGCGACGTGGTACAGCAGCTCCTCTTCAGCGCCCCCCTGCCCGTCCTCCCCCACTGTCGCGATGCGCAGCACGCCGCTGACGTCGGCCGCCGCGCCCGTGTCCAGCCGGCGCAGGGAGACGACCTGGTTGGCTGCGTGGACTTGATTGAGGACGAGCGCGGCCTGTTGCCGCTCTAGCCCCGTGGTGGTCGTCTTGTCTTGCTGCTGTTGCTGCGGCCGCCGAATCGCGGCTCGCAGGAGAGGCTCGTCGGCCGCCAAGGTGACCAAGGTCGAGTGCATAGTCTGTTGGGGAAAAAAAGGTCAAAAAGAAAGAACGCATATGGGCTGGAAGAGTTGAAAAAGTGCGAGTTTCTTTTTCGAAGAAGGAATAAGAACCGCACAGGGAGAAGAGGACTGGCGCAGCAGACAATAGGAGACGCGTTCCAAAAACACAAAAGTAAAAAAAGGAAAGAATACACACCTCGCGTAAGCGCATCAGTAGGCTCTCTGCTTCTGTCGCGCTGGCCGCCATCGCGACATGGGCATCTAGGCCATCGACGAGCAGCACCTTCCTGCCGCCGCGCAGCGGTGCCGGGAGGAGGCGGGCCGCCGCGTCGTCGACCCGGGTTTTAACGGCGTCGGTCCACGGATCGTGGCCGTCTGGCGTGGCTAGGAGCTCCTCCGTGAGCCCGTCGACAAAGCTGAAGCGTCCGCTCTTGCGGAGGGCATCGATGTCCATGCCCTGAAGAAGAAGAGAATTAGGCATCGCGACAAGTGAGTTTCTCGGGCCGCTCCTAGATGGGGGAGGGGGAAAGGCCGCCGGCCGTGTATGGAAATCACAAGCTCTCGAGTTTGGTTTCACAACACTCATTGCGCCTCTTGTATTTGCTTGGAGGTTGGAAAGCGTCGATGGTTAGGGCAACCACATTCACAACGCAGTTGTTTTACTCTCTCTCGCGCGCGCACAAAGACATACTCTACACTGGGAAGTCCAACGACAGAACAAGCAAACAAAAGGCAAGAAGAAAAAAGGCCACTCACCAATCTTGCGCAACCCTCGGCCCAGAACCGCTCATCCCGCAGAAAGCTCAACAACACCACCCCTACCAGCCCGTCCTCCGATTTACTGCTGCTGCCACGCCCTCCTCCTCCTCCTCCTCCTAGAAGCGCATACAGGTACCGCAGCAACAGCCAGTTGGCGCTCGCGCCTTGCACCCAAGTGACCACGGTGAGCGAGCCCGCCTCGCAGCCGGCGGCGGCGAGCGGCCCGCGCGCCACGTGCGGCTCCAGCTTCGCGGGGAGTACCCGGGACGTTGTCGTCATCGCCGGCCGCAGCGGGTGCGGCAGTGGCGAGGGAGAGAGAGGTGAAGAGGAGGCGGCCATGATTCCACAGGTGTTTTGACGCAAAAAAAACAAAAAGAAGAAAGAGTATGGCCTGGAAAGCGAGAGAAAGATCCTTGTCGACACGCGCGCTTTCTGATTTGCTCAGACTCTCTCGAGGCGGAATCCGGCCAAGGATGTGATCCTTCGGCGGCCTGTTTGACGTTCGCTGCTTGGAAAGGGCGGCACTAGAAAGGGTCGGGGTTCGCTCTTTGAGATGTTGGTTTGTAGCAAGCGAAAACATACCAATGTACGAAGCTTGCTTGGTGGGGGCGAGGACGGTGTAGCTCGCACTGTCTACACAGCGCATACTTTCCGCTGATTCTCACCATTTCACGGAGCTATACTCAATTGAACGAGGAACAATCCCATTTTAGGATGTTTTCAAGTCAGAATCGATGACTGTGTTAAAGACTCGCACAGTATTCACAAGTCTAGGTAGAACTGTACCGACCAAGGACGACCAACAATACAAGACAGTCCCAGTCAGAAAAAGAAAACGCCTTAGAATAAAAGGAAAAAAAGGATAGGTTATGATAAAAGGCTATGGATGCTTTCAAGTATTTAAGAACGAATCAAAACTTCTCCATTAGGTTCTTGCGGACCGTCCACATGCGTAGTCGCTTGCCATAAATGAAGAGGGGAATGGTAGAGAGGAGGAGAATCAGGTGTATGATCCCAACCCAAACATAAACCATCTTTGGCCCATCATCAGCCAGCCAGTGGCTAAAGAAAAGACTAAACAGTAGTCCATGCAAGACGTTCTTGGAAAAGTTGAGAGTCACAAGAGCCTCACCAGCGTATTGACGATAGCTGTCAACGCAAAAAGTAATCGACGTAGTAGATCCTAGAGAGCAGCCAAAAGAGACGACGCCAAAAAAGACAGTCGGGACAATCCAGTGATCATGAATTTGCGCTGACCATCCGAAGCCCATCAAGCCTATGCAAGTTGTGATGAGGATGGGAATGGCCATGACTAGCCGAAATTCTGGCTCATAGAGGCCGCCGTTGCGGCGTGCCATGGCCTTGACGATGATGTCACTGATTTTTCCAGCGACACCAGTTCCGAGGATACCTCCCACAAACGGGGAAATATAGACCAGACCTGTCTGGAGAGCGGTAAAGTTGTATGTGTCTGGATTGCGGTATATGATGGCCATGGTTTCGGAAATGACGATGAGCCAACCGATAGAACATGCGTAAACAACAGAGGACCATAGGACGGCCGGGTAAGCAAAGAGTACAAAAGGTCGAACAAGAACCTTGTGCCACTTGTCACTATTCAACCGCCCGTGGTATGGTTTCAGCTGCTGGACAAAGGACTGAGCAGGCTGCTGGCGTAGGTTGTGGGTATATTGACGGATTTTGGGAGGAGAAGAAAGGCTGGCAGCTGTAATAGTCTCTCTGTCAGCGGCGTTTTGAAAATAGTCAACGCCGGAAGCAGTGTAGATACTACTGCGACCATCTGGGGTTTGCAAGTGGCTCGAATCGTGCACGTTTGGACGGCTCAAGGTATGGAGCGCCGGCGAGTTTGCCGTGAGCCCGTCAGTGGCAGACTGAGACCCGGTAGCTGCTTGCTGGGGCTTTGATGCCGTGATTGAGGGCTCAATTGATTGTTCTGCTTCCACCCGACCGCTGCTTTCCAACTCCTTTTCCATATTGGACGCCTCAGAGAAGCCGACATGAAGGTTCTTCGGGCGAAGATGCGACGCACCATCAACTGGAGCATTCGCCGCATGCTCCTCGGCTTCAGTCGCGAAGCCAACATGCAGGTCGTGATGACGGTCTTGAGCACCAGGAGAATGAGGACGCTCATGTGAAACGCCAGGGGCGGGGAAGGGTGTCTTGTGTGGACCGTAGCGAGAAGAAATACGACGAAAGAAACTTGGTCGTTTGGACGGCTTCCTCGTTGGGGTGCGATCCCAGAAGGTCTCGGGAACAAAGAGGAATAAGAGGACACCGGCAAGTCCAACAATCATGGCCATGATCCTAGAATGAGTCAGTCCTGTAAATAGACGAGATTTCATGCACGAGATTGAGGGAATCGTACCAAAAGACCCATCGCCAGCCAAAACGAGCGATTATGGCGGCACTGACGAGGGGCACCAAGTTTTTACCACCGAGGAGCAGCAGTGTGTAGATTCCGATACGAAAGGCACGCTCGTGGAGAAAGAATATTTCGGCAATGGTGGCGGAAGGCAAGCATTCGACGGGACTGACTGCGATGCCCTGAAAAACGCGAGCTGCAATGAGGGAGGAAAAGGAGGGAGACCATCCAGCCCAGAGCGAAGTCCCGATAAAGAGAATGGCACTAGCAAGGTAGACGGGACGTTTTCCGAAGAGGATGGCGGTCGGGGATGCAAAGACTGAACCGACACCCAGGCCCATCATGTAGAGGCCAGTAGTGAGAGCGACAGTTTCAACTTCGACGTGGTAGTCGTGAGCGACGTCGGTGAAACCGGCGGCGATGAGAGGAGTGACACCGCCGCCTAGCATACAGTAGAACCCGAGGGAGAGAAGAGCAGTATCGCGACGCCAAGATGGCCAGTTGAGGGGGTCATTGACGGACTCCTCGGGTTGGGGCTCCAGAATGACTTGACCGTCCTCGGTGGTCTTTTTCGTCTGGTCTGGACCCGGGGAGGGCTTGTTGGTGGGATTTTCAGGAGCGGCTGACACTATGCGAGTACCGCCGGGTGTTGTGGGCATATCAACTGGGAAGCCAGCAGGAATGGAAGAGTGGGAGCTGCGAGCGTTTATATTGCGTAAGCCCAGAGGCTCGTTGCGATGGGCAGCAAGCAGCAGGACGGATCCTAGCAGATGATGTTAGAAAGTGGTACAAGGCAAACGCATGGGAGCAAGTGTAAGTGGCAGTGTTGACGACGTGTCTTACCTGGAACCTCGACAGTGCTGGGATCATTGAGAACGCCCATGCTCCATTTCGAAGTGCGGGGGATGTCAGAGTCATGCTCTTCATCATTGGAGGCGGAGCGGCTGGTGAAGAGACGACCCAAGCCCCAGTAGCGGTTGGGGCTCGAAGGTTTTTCGCCATACATGGATGGATCTGATGAGGACATTGGCTGATGTGGTGCGAAGAGCAGAGCAGAAGACGATGATGGGTTTGGAGTAGGACGGAAGAGACAAGGTGAGTATCGAGACGAGATGAGAAAGTCGAGGGAGTTGGATGGTATAAGAGCGCGTTGGTCACAAGTACCAGACCGAGTGGAGGAGAGGCCAAGTGAGTGCTGAGGATATAGGTTCTAGAATAAGTTGGGAGGAGATTATAGGCGCGGTCGGAGAATGCCGCAGCGGCCAAGGCGAGGCGAGATATGAGGCGGAAGAATGCAGAAAGAAGTTGAAAGGCGCGCGGTAGTAAGGAAGGTAGTAAGGAAGGATAGATTATTCGAGCGAGATGGAGAGTCGGGGTGCGCGGTGGAGAGTACCTAGTTAGCCGGAGGCGTGTCCGAGAAGGTTATAGAGGACGAGGAAGTGATTAGGTTTGCGGTGACGTGGAAAGAAAGACTAGTAAACGCTAAAAGGAAAACCAAGAAAAAATAAGAGGAAAAGATAAAAGGGGATCCTCAACCTGCCGAGGAAAAGCCCAGGGATAGGGTGGAAGTTGATGCTGGCAAACAGCGATGAGATGCACGAGGTAAAGAGTGGTGGTGGGATTTGGCTATCAGATCTCATGAATTATATAAGCAGGCTAATATAGACATTAGATAACTAGTTATAACTAAGAGCAATTTTATATAGTAGAGTTAAAGAATAATATATATTAGAACTTATAGCTATTTTTACCTTATTCTTTTTTAACTAGGAGGGGAAATTCCTTCCTTCTTATACCTATTTTCTAGCCTAACTAATTAGCTAAATTATACTCTTTTAGTATATCTTTTTATTACCTAATTCTATTAGTAATTAGGATTAGTTTCTTTAAACCTAACTCTTTTATCTATATACTACTTATTAAGACTAATAGGGTATATATAGGGTAAGAAGTAAAGTTATTATATTATATAACTTCTATCTAGTTATATAGTATAGATAAGTACTAGATATACTAGGTAATAGGAGATTATTCTTCTAGCTTCTAAGCTGCCTATTATTACTCCTACTTAATCTATATTAACTAAGAAAAATAACTAGTAAAATAAAATAATAACTATAAAGAATAAAATAATAACTATAAAGAAAAGTAGTAACTACTATAGCTACTATAATATACTATAATAGTAACCTAATTCTCCTACTTACTAATAGGTATAATAATACCTATTAGTATATATAAGTTACCTTTTTTTTTAACTATAAGGTAGTTTATAGTTATACTAGGTATAAGGTAGCTTATAGTTATATTAAGTATAGAGTAGTTTATAGTTATATAGGGGGCCTTATTACTATATTAGGGGCTTTATAATTACTATATTTTTTATTTTTTACTTATAAGGTAATTTAACTTAAAAACCTATATAAATAAATTTTATAAAAAATAAAAGTTATATTATAAACTATATTTAATAAAGATACCTTATTCTAAAGGCTATAGAATATATAAAAAACTACTAGCTAAGGTATACTAGGTACTATACTAATACTAAGTATACTATACTAGTACTATACTAGTATTAAGTATACTATACTAGTACTATACTAGTACTATATTAGTACTATACTAGTATTAAGTATACTAATTAACTATAATAGTCCTATAAGTAATAGAATAATAATAGGCTTATAAAGGCTTAGGCTTTTATAAGATTATAGCTATAAGGAAGCCTTAGTAACTATAAGACCTATAGAGCCTTATAATTTATAGCTATAAAAAGCTTATTATAATACCTTTAAAGGGTAATACTTTAAAGGCTTAGTACTAGTTAGCTTATAATAGTCTTAAAAGTAATAAGATAGTAGTAGGTTATAAAAAAGCCTTAATAGTTATAAAACTTATAAAGCCTTATAACTTATAACTATAAAAGGCTTACTATAATACCTTTAGAGGATAATACCTTAAAGGCTTAGTACTAGTTAGCTTATAATAGTTCTAGAAGTAATAAAATAGTAGTAGGCTATAAAGGGAGCCTTAGTAATTATAAGACCTATAAAGCCTTATAGCTTATAACTATAAAAGGCTTATTATAATACCTTTAAAAAGTAATACCTTAAAGGCTTAATACTAGTTAGCTTATAATAGTTTTAAAAGTAAGGAAATAGTAGTAAATAAAGAGCTTACTAGCCTTTAAAAGGTAATACCCTAAAGGCTAATACTAATAAAGGCATTAATAGAGCTAGCTAGCCTTTAGAGGGTAATACCCTAGAGGCTAGTACTAATAGAGGTATTAATAAAAAGCTAACTAGCCTTTAGTAAATAATACCTTAAAGGCTAGTACTAATAGTACTAATAAAAAGCCTACTATAGTGCTTATAAAGAGTAATACCCTAGAGGTATAGAACTAATTAACTATAATATTTATAAAATAGCTTTAATAAGTAATACTCTAAAGACTAAAGGCCTTAAAAGTATAATACTTCTAGAATAAACCCCTAGAAAATTATAGCTTAAAAGGTATTTAGTATAGTCTTAAATAGTACCTATACTTATAAAAGGCTAGCTTTAATAGTAGCTTAATTATAATATTAGTAATATTCTTAGTATTTAGATTTTAACTAAAGCTTAATTAATATAGTATATTCTTATTATATAACTAGTAGTATTAAATATTTATATACTTTATTTAGGGGTATTCTTAAATACTAAAAGCTTAGGTAATAGTATTAAAGTTATTAGCCTAGATAGTAGTCTTAGTATAAGTAGGCTTTTCTTTAAGGGTTTTTATAATAATATAGTAAAGCTATTAAATCTAGATAGCTTTCTAGGCTATATTATACTAAGAGATATACTTTATTTTAATAATTAAGTATATAATAATATTTTATAGTTTTAAGTATTAAGATATAATACTACTTTTTAAGGTAATAATAAAACTATTAATAGATTTATATATTTATTAATAGCTAGTATAATTAATATTATAGTAGATTTAAAGTCCTTTATTAGATCTTATAAAAATAAGTTTATAGTTAGTAATACCTTTAATATATTATAAAAGCTATTTTAAACTAGTAATATATTCTACTAATAAGGTAACTATAAATCTATAGTAATAGCTAATAATAAAGTAGATATTAAGCTTAGAGTAGTTAAAAAGATAAATTAAGCTTTTATAGGTCTTAATATACTAGCTATTCTTAATAGTTAGCTATTATTTAATACTTTTAATAGTAAGACTTATTAGTAGGTTATAAGGTTTATAGTTAAGAAGGTTAGCTTCTTTTAAAAGGGCTTTAGTATATTTACTTTAAAAAAGTATAAAAGTTCTTATATATTAATCTTAGTAAATATTAATACTAAAATAGTAGCTAATAAAGCTTATATTTATTATCTTATAAGTATTTAATAAGGCTTTCTTAATCTTTATAATAGTAACCTTATTTTTACTAATAATAAGAAGATTATTAATATAAACTATAATAATTAGGCTATCTTTATAAATAAATAAAGAATAATTAAGCTATATAGGCTTAAAGTTAAGACTTTAAAGTATTTTATAAAAGGTTATATACTAGATCTATAGGGCTTACTTTAGCCTATATAGGGATTTTAATAGCTTCTATACTTTCTTAAGATATTCTTCTTAATATTCTTTAGGTATTTTAATATAGACTTTAGTATTTATAGAACTATAAAAAAAGGTAGTTTTAATATCTATTTACTTAACCTTAAGGTTTAAGGTAGCTATAATTACTAGTAGTAAGTATAGTATTAAAATTTTTAGTATACTTATAAATATTTTATAATAATTAAGTCTTTTATATTAATTAAAACCTTTTACTATATATTAAGATTTCTAGTAAATAACCTTATTATTAGTACCTTTTTTAAGTTTATATATTTACTTACTTAGAAGAATAGTTTTATTTTTAGGCCTATTAATTATAATTATAATATAGTTCTTTATTAAAAAGTTATACTTATTTACTATTAAGCTTTTTTACTTTTATAAGTTAGGATAAAGAATAGCCTATTTATATATTATAGGTTCTTTATTATAAATAAGGTTATTAAATATAGTAAGGTTTATTATATTATTAAGATTAAAGTAAAGTATATATTAATAGTTTTAAAATATTAAGACTAATCTAATTAGAATTTTAATCTATATTATAAGTCTTTCTTCTTACTTAATAGTATTACTTAAAGCTAAGAATAAGAGTATTTTAAAAAGGTTAGATAGTATCTTATTAATACTAATAATAAAGATAGGATATAAAGTTAATTAAATATCTAGTAGTATTAGTTTAAATTTATTATTATTTAGTATATATAAATAGCTAATAAAGTTATTATTATTAACTAGGTTATAAATATTATTATCTTTATTAGTAATTCCTAGTATTACTAATATAAAGAATATAAAGGGTATTATTTACTTAGGCTTTATAGTTAAGGTAGTAAGTATACTATAATACTTTACTATAAAGCTCCTACTAGTAAGTAAGTTATAAGTAATTAAAGTAATTTCTATATACTTTTATTTTTTACTAATTACCTATTAACTTAAAAAGTAGTATATAGTTTTACTTTTATAGCCTAAGGTAGGGTTATTTTACTAAAGAAGGTTATATTTAAAATCTTTAAATAGCTAGTTAGGCTATTCTTAAAAAATAATATTATTAATAATTATTAGTTTATTAAGTCTATTAATATTTAAGATAATATAGTTAGTTTAGCCTTTATATTTAATTAAGATATATAGAATAGTTTTAAGAACTATTCTTAGAATATAATAAGAGGTTTTTTACTACTTATAACTACTTATAATTTATAAATAACTAAGGTTAGGTTTATCTTTAAACTATAGTTTATAAGGAGTTATTAGTTTATTATTCTTTATTATAAAGGTATATTATTAAAAAGTAATATAGGCTTATATTATAACTAGCTAGAATTTAATTAGTATTTTTAATTAATATATAATAAAAAAAAGCTTATTTTATAGTATCTTATTCCTAACCT